ATCACTCTTTTGCTCCCCCTCTCGAATTTTTCTCACTTTGATTTTCCTCCCTCTGTGAAGCCCGAAGTCAGCTAAATGGCTAATGATAACTATTCAAAACGCCGGCCATTTGAAATAATAATAAAGTAAAACAGACAGACAAACACAAAGACAGATAAAATGTAAGATGTGTACTGTGGAAGGAATCGAATATCACACAAAGTGGGGTCATGGTATTTTGAAGAGAGAAGTCAACTGCCGGTTAATAGACTTTTCGCCGTATGAGTATACGTTGCCCAGGTTGCACCACGTAGCGGTAAGTATATCGCACATCCCTTGTGAGTTAAAATTTGGAATGAGCGATAAGAAGACAGTTGTATGACCATAGGGGTTCCTATTTCACTCCTCTCAAGTTCCATTCTTACCTTTAATTATTGTGGAAAAAATGTTGCTAATAGAATGAAAAAAACAAAGCCAGGGAGTATGAATTTTTCATGTCCCCTTTTCCTTTTCTTCTCATCTCTCTCCCATGTATTCGTGTAAAATTTCTAAGGGAACTGCAGTTGTACTGCTTCTGCTTCTTTCCTTTCGAGCAATTTGATTAATGCGTTTTGGCTTGGCTTTGCATCTTTCGTACACCACCCTCCCTACTTCCACTTGAGGCATACGCAAAGTAGCCATCTTAATTATTATCAATTTTCTTTCCGTTTCAGGTTAATTATAGTGAAACTTCCTACTGAGGCAACTGGTTGGCAACCGAGATTCCACCAACTTTGTGACTTACGAAATGGACTCAAACGAAAATGTATTCTCAGTTTGTGTGAATTGAGTCCAGTTATCGATAACTGTGCATCATTCGTTTATACTAATACAGTTGGAACGGTATCTGGGCTTGAAGTTGATTTACTAAATGGTGTCCTTCTGAACACCAGGTTCACTATCCAACTTGAAGTTGAGAACCCAATTACTAAATCATTGGTTCCCTGCGCAGCTAACTCGGTCACCGTGCTGAAAAATCGAATTGTGGTTGCTGGAGACGATGGCAGCATCCGTTTAGCTGATTTTGAAGGAAGTTGGATTGCCTCGGCCGCAAAACACTTTGCTGCTGTTGTCAAGGTCATTAGTCTGGATAATCAAAGTCATCTACTGAGTTTGGGTGCTGATCATCGATTGTTGATGTGGAATCTTACCGAAAACGACCAATTTTCTGTTGTGTCAGAATTGACGTTAACTGGACTTGGAGACCCACAGAATGTGTCTGTTGTTGCTTGTCGGAGGACCTCGAAACGACTTCTGGCAATGGTTTGTGGATCCGGTGTTCAACTGTGCCATTTCAAGCTGTAAAGTAAATGTAAAGTGAAACTCTGCTGGCTAATTAGCGATTTTGAATGTTTTCTTAATTTAATTTGCAATAAAAGTACTGCTGAACCCACCTTTTTTCTCATTTTAAAATAACTTTTAATTATATCTCGATTTCACGATCAGAGGTTTCACTATAATTCATTAATTCTTTTACTTTATTAATTAGTTTATTTTTATTGTCAATACATTGCGGGATATTATTTATTGGTTGAGTATTCAACAATGAATTGCATGGTCAGTTTGAATGAAAATAAGTGCCAATGAATATTTTAAATTTACAATGCAATCACTCTAAAGAACATGGGTAGACGCAATATCTTGAATGTGCATAAATACGTTTTCGAATGAATTAAGAGCATAATTTGTTGGAGTCTTAGAGATATTCGCCCGATTATGAATCGAGAAATTGGATATCTTCAATAGGTCTTGTTTTTGGTATATTGAATCGATTACAAGTGAGAAACGCTCATGAAGTCAGAGAAGATCATCCAAAGTCGCACTGTGCCGTAGACTATTCGCTATTTGCTCAGACGCTGAGAGTCACAGACTAATGCTTATCGAAGCACTTCCATTTACCGAAATAATTAATCTCAATTATCATGAAAATAAATTGTAGAATGTGTTTTCTCATTTTGAAATACTTTTCATAGTGGCAGTTAGAACATCATCTTATTTGACCTATTAAAATTATATAGCATTAACGTATTCCAGATTCCAAATCAATGATGGAATGGAAGTCTTATAGTAATAGGTGGAAGGTTGTTGAAATATCAACTTATCGGAAGTCGATGTTTTAATCTTGAACGATAAATTATAGCCTTCAAAGTCGTATCGTTTCCAAGTCGTCGATAACAGCCCATATTCTCGGTTAAATTGACAATATTTTATGATTTAACTGCAATCTCCCAATATTTAGAGGCACGAATATTTCACTCCCCAAAGTGACATTTACAATCCACACTTGGCAAATAAGCATATGCAACACCAAATGCTATTTTTATTTCGATGAAAAACTAGCGGTATCACGAATTTCTTCATCCTCGATTGAATGTACTAAGGAAACTACGAGGTGTGAAGCTCTTGAGGCGATTTATTTATCCTAACGAAATTTGGTACGCCATATGTTAAAAGAACGGAAAGTAATGGAGAAATGTTCATTTTTTTATTTACTTCAATATAAGTGCTTAAGTTTAATATGGGAAAGCTGTGTCGCGGAAATTTTCCAGTTTCCGTACTTAGATTATCGACATTTATTTATTTTATTTATTTATTTATATCAAATGGCAGGCTTTTTGATAGTTATCATTAGCCCTGGAGCTGACTTCGGGGCTTCACGAAGAGGAGATGGGACATCAAAGTGACAAAAAGTCGAGATGGGAGACAGAATAA